TCATATGGTCTCAAAAAACTTGAGTAACTACAGGGCACATTCACGTGGAGTAGAGTTCTGGCAGTGTTCTTCAGGGCTGTGGAAGGACATAGAAGTTGGTCATTTTCATATGCCTCTATGTAACATTTTAGTGTCCTGTTGAATAATCTGATGTATGATACTCTTTTAGGAAAACATAGCTGCATCATTTGGCTTTTCAAGCCCTATGCCCAGCCTGGGCAACATAGTGAGACCTCGTCTTTTCCAAAAATAAATAGCTGGGCATGGTGGCGTGCACCTATGGTCACAGCTACTTGGGAGGTTGAGGTGGGAGGATTGCTTGAGCCCGGGAGTTCAAGGCTGCAGTGAGTTATGATCTTACCACTGCACTCCAACCTGGGTGACAGAATGAAACCCAGTCTCAGAAAAAACGAAAACAAAAACACCTTATCCCCTATTGCTCCTCTCAGGGCAGTATTTTGTACTGGCTCCTATTAAAGTTCATAATGATTCTGTAGGAGAGATGGGAAGAAGTCCTTGGGCCTTCTGCTTTGCCTAAAATAGGTTGATTTCCTCGTATACAGCAGATAGATTTTTCATTTCTAGCAAAATGTTCCCACTACATATCCCTTTTCCTCTTGGATTTGATCTTAGAGTCACTTCTAAAATAGTTTCTGCTTTAACTTTTTGGGAATTTGACTGCGGCATCACTTAAGAACTATTTCCAAGAACACTAGAGACCCACCCAGACATGAGTTGTATTGATTACTTTATTTTTTGTTTGGTTTTTTTTTTTTTTTTTTTGAGATGGAGTCTTCTTCTGTCCCCAGGCTGGAGTGCATTGGAGTGCAGTGGCACAATCTTGGCTCACTGCAACCTCCACCTCCTGAGTTCAAGCGGTTCCCCTGCCTCAGCCTCCGGAGTGCTGGGACCACAGGTGCCTGCCACCACGCCCGGCTAATTTTTTGTTGTATTTTAGTAGAGATGGGGTTTCACCATGTTGGCCAGGACGGTCTCGATCTCCCAACCTCGTGATCCACCTGCCTTGGCCTCCCAAAGTGCTGGGATTACAGGCATGAGCCACCACACCCGGCCTTGAGGTGCTTAAGATGGAAATATGGGTATGATTCTTAGGAGACAGATCATACCAGGAGATGTCAGTATGGCAGTTAATGGCATATATATCAAATTTCAATCCATCAGAATAAGGAAATCATCAAGGGACACCATGTAATGTGAGAAGAGCAGATGAAAGAGATTAGAACACTAAGGGTCACCGACATTTAAAGGTCATTTGAGGAAGGAGCCAGGAAAGGAGACTGAATTCCATGCCTTCTGCAGAATGAGTCCTGAGAGTGGTGTGGGACAAAGTGTGGATGACTCACAAGGCTCACTATACCTAGAAGTTCATCTTTGGTCCCACTTAGAGTATAGTACTAGTGTTATCTCTACATGCTAGCTACATTTTTGTCTTATCTTCAGTGAGAAGTGTTTATTTACCACTGACCATAACAGTGCTTTTGAGAAAATATTTTTAGCAGTACCACGGAATGTCTTTCCTTGGTGCCTTTGCGTTTGGAAACAAACCCAGAGGCAGTGCAGCACAGACCAGGAGTATACACTCATCACCCTGAGGACTGATCATTTGTTTTTATTTTAGAAGATAAATCCTGGCTGGGCCTAGTGGCACATTCCTGTAGTCCTTGCTATTTGGGAAGCTGAGGCAGGAGGATCCCCTGAACCTAGGAGTTTGAGGCTGCAGTGAGCTGTGATTATGCATCACACTCCGGCCTGGGTGACAGAGTGAGACTCTTGTCTCAAAAAGAAGAAATTCTTTGAGGCATATGTGTGATTGTTATAGCATTTAATACTTGAATATTTTTATATGTCCAAAATTTTATTTTATGGGTTTTTTGTTTTGTTTTGAGAGACTCACAGTGTTGCCTGGGCTAGAGTGCAGTGGCGTGATCTCAGCTCTCTGCAACCTCCGCTTCCTGGGCTCAAGCGAGCCTCCTGCCTCAGCATCCTGAATATCTAGGATTATAGGCGCCCACCACCATGCCCAGCTAATTTTTTGTATTTTTTTTTTTTTT